AAGATATTATTTTGCAATTACAATAAAAGCCAACTAGCTATATATAACCTTTGATATTTAATTTAAGTAGTTTGCTTAAAAGTTTTATACTACTATTATATATACAATCTAATTATAAGATTATATATTTAAACATTTTAATTTTAATTTTTACTTAGCAAGATTTCTAACTTTTTACTATTACAGTATTAAAGTTAGATTTTAGATTTTAAATATACCTTAAACCTAGTTTATTTTCAAAATAAATTTACTAAAATAATATATATCTACTTATATATATATTTATTTAGACTTTGATAATTTATACTTAAAATCAAAATTAACTACTTTTGCTATTAAAAATTTATTAATATTAAACCTAGTGTAACTCTCTTAATTTTCCAAATAATTTTAACTATTTTTCTTCTGTTTTTATATTTATTATTATTCTTTATAGTCCCTATTATTAGTATATTATCATTTGAGTGACGGGATATGAAAACCTGTAAATCATTTCACTCATTGTTATTGCAGTGATATCTACCCCTATAAAAGCTAGAAGTACATATCATTGCGATGATAATGGATGAAATGATTTATAGGTTTTCATGTCCCGTCACTCATTTATAGAAACCTAAATCTTACTTGCCCTATTAGTTTAATAAAGCATTTGAAAATTTTTTTTTGCGGCTGTACTAAGATGGTGTGATCTAGTTTATCCAATTAAAGACAGATTTCATGCGCCCAATCACAATTGGAAAGAAATCAGAGAACCCTTATATTCTGTACATACGTACGTACGTATGTTTGTGCGCACTGCGCAGTGGCTATTTCTTTCCCAATTTGGTTAGTTCCAAATCGTTAACCAAATCTACACTTAAAACGTAAAATATCACAAGATCTTACGCAATTAATTGTATGATGCACATTAAATCTGTTCCGCATTATTATCGTGATAATCTTTTCATATGATAAATAATTATAAATTGTGTATTTACTCCGAAACATATTTTTAATTTTATTTAACTTTCTATAATCAGAATTTGCATGTCGATATGGACCGACTTGCAGAATCGAACTTTGTTTAACACAATTGATAAGCATTATATGCAAATTAGCCCACATGACTATTTGGTATGTTTATGGGAACAAATTTAATGTCCAAAGTAATGGTAACGGGATAGAAATCTCAAAAGGTTCTTGTGCATACAATGAAATCAGCAATCTTTTCAAATTTGGAAATGTACAATAGAGTTCTAGAGTTCTAAATTTTTGTGGTATACTTTAATTATAAATAAATATACAATAACAAAAAAAAATATATACAATATATATACTATATATACTATATTATATATTTATTTATATATACAGATATAATTAGTCATAACTCACGCTGGTCATTGGATTAATTATCACAATCGGTTGGATGAGTCACAGCTTAACCTCAATAGTCAGTTTAGTGTGAATGAATAATATTAATGAAAAGAGAATTATCACGAAGTTACTAATTTAACATAAAATAAATATTATATCAAAAACTGCTAATGCAGTATTGTTAGATTCTTATAAATATACTTGTCAGATTTATTAGGTTTAGATTAAAATTGCAAGTCTCGATCTAAAATTTTAAATAAAACTTACTATAAAAGTAGACGAATTTTAAATTTAAAATAATATTAGCCTGAATTATAACGCTTTGCAAAGAATGTGACCCATGGTTTTTATTTAAAATCGGTAAAATTCTTAAAATCTCCAATTATCACATGGAATCATGATCTGCAGAGATCAGCAAAGCGCAATAATAATGGCTAAATTTTTGTTATTTTTTTTTACATTATTAAAATTTAATCAAAAAAAATAAGGCTTTTATATTATATAGTAATCTATTAATGATATATTTTATGTATGAGATTTGATATATTTAAGAATTTAAATATTGTAATAATTTGATAAGATGTTAGCAGCTTGAAGTTATCTTTACCTTATTGTTTATTGTCGTTGTTGATGTATCAATAGTTACCTAATTAATAACGTAATTTTATAACTTGCTGCCTAGTATTAGTTGCGAACTGCGTTGATACTAGTTAGTAGAGCTCTTACCCGCGCCGGGTTGACCCTGCTGGTCACGGGTCATGGATAACATGGTAAAATTCATGGATAATATAAATAAAATCTAGTGATCCAGTAGATGCAAAATCCGAAAAGCTATTTGTTATATATTAATATAATGGCGCAATATAAAATCGTAAAATTCTATAAACTCTACTCTTTAACCTTTCGAGAGTAATCTACATAACTATTGACCCAATTGGTAGTCCTAAATAAGAGTCGCTACATAAATTTTATCGTTATGAAGTTAACTTTAAAATCATGATTTGCCATATGACACGTTAACCCGGTCAGACCCGAGTCAATACCTGACTCTCCCGAATAATTATTTTCTGACCCGGGTAATAGCTCTAGTTTTTAGTGCTTATTACAAATCAAGTTTTATATATGTGTTGTATGCATTATGATGACACTACGTCAACAATTGGCTGGTGCTTGATGTTTCACAAAAGATATTTGGATAAAGACGAAGTTTTATTTACTCCTAGAGGCTTTTAATCATAAATAATGGTGGAGTCTAGAGGATATACCAACTACAACAAAGATCCAAAGTATAGTTTAGGAAGTTGAGTAATCGATACATTGGTCGTTTTTTCCCCCCAAGCCCTGATGTATATTAATTTTTCGTTATCACTACCACACAAAGAACTACTTTTACACTATATGTAAGATAAAAAAAAAAAAATCAAATTTTCTTGCACTAATTACTTGGATCGTCTGGAATAATTATTAGATTAATTGGTAAGTTTCTTAATTCATGTATAAATTTTGCTTTTTTTTTTGTGATTTAATATCGATCTCTTTGAATTCTTGGAATCATGATTTTTTTGGTTATAAAGGCAATACATACATAGAGACTCATAACACAAATCTTACAACCGTTTTTATGTATCCGGTCTAGGATTATTTGATAATTAAGATAAAAATGTTTCTGAGAATTCGTGGATTATAATTATTTTTATCTTAGGTTAGTCGCTTAAGAAAAGAGTGGTTACCTACAAAAAAAAAAAAAAGAAAAGAAAAAAAGTAAATATAAATTTTCCTCCTGAGACTTCTTATTTTATGTCAGGGTGTATTACTTTTAAGATTACGAATGTTCATAGATTATGTTCTTTAACTCTAATTAACAATCTCAAATTTGTCTCGTCATACACACTATATACTTAATCTGGGCCGATTGGAGCTTTTTAGTATTGAGAGCAATATTTCTTTGCTATAGGCCGAAAGTCTTAGATGGTGTTTACGGAATCATGTCCTATGTTTTCTCAATAATTTTATTAGATAAAATTTTATAAAACTATTTCCAATCACTATTTTAGACATTCGCAATGCCAAGTTCTTATTCAAGCAAATAATCTCAAACTGTTTGGCCCAGTTCTTACTGTATATACACATAATATAAAATTTTGAAGACAGTGTTCGTTATAGCACCAATCTGATTATTTTTTAACAAATGGTAAAGTGGAATTTTTTTTATGTTGAATGAGAAATGCAATAGTTATAAAATATTGCTGACATATAGAACAAATTAATCGTCGTGAATACATTTCCGAGAAATAGTTGGCAATTCTTATCTTATATAAACTGAAGTATTGAGAAAGTGACCATCCCAATCATTGGTAAGCGTTGGTAAGATTCTATCATTTTCTGTGAGTAAAATTTCTAATTCTTCTTTTCTCCATTATAATTTCGTATATCAAGTGAATAAACGGTATGTTTAATTATTTCTCAATCTATTTTCAAGAAATATCAAAAGCTTCATCAAGGACCAATTGCATGATCAATATAACTTAACTTTTTTTTCATATATGTCCTCCCGCTACCTATCTCACCGAATAGAATTCTGAGATCATAATTTGTAATATTTCCGCGGTGTCAAGACGTGATCCGAAATGATCTACAGGCAAATTATTCTTATAATTTTCCTGAAAGAATAGACATACTTCTTTAAACTAAATTATAGGCCAATTGGCCCTGGTGCGTGTGTTCAAATAGTAAATAATCAAGATTTTAGTAATTTGCATTATTCTTATAGTAATATTTTATAATATTTTAAGCATTAAGTCCACCATATTACAATAGTGATCGGTTAGAAAAATATCACGACGACAAAACTGGGAACCTATAGTTGTTATAGAATAACAACTTAATACTTTAAAGGTCATCGACAAGGTTGACATGAATTCATACTCTGCTTTTAAAAATTATTAAGATTCAGATTTTCTAACAGGTATTAATGATGTTATCCATTAGGCGTAAAAACATTGAAGGCTGATCTTTTCATAATGGATCATTTGATTTTCAGGGTAATAGTAACATAAATTAAAAAGTATCAGTTTAATACGCTGCCTTTAGGAAAATTATTATCTGAAATAACAAGGTTACTACCAGAATTCTTAGAGGAATCTTTGCTTTATCATCCTATGATATAATCATAGCATGTGGAAAAGGTGACAATTTTTCGAATACTTTTTGGTGATGAGAAACAAATAATTTAATATGATTTCTCGCGAAATTGGCATCACCTGGATTGCCATAGGATGATGACCGAAAATAAGTATCGAAACAAGAACATGACTGTACTTTCTTCTATCTTATCTTTCAGGCAAAGGACAGAATACTTTAATTATCTTTTCTTTTCTGTTCAACTTTCAAATTAGACAAATTCGACACATGAATACAATTGTATAAACAAATCTAGATTTTGTTTAAGGTCATCCAGGTGAATCATAACAAATAATTTTATTGTTTTCTTCTAGAGCTTTAAATTTTTTAAATTTTTTTCACTTGACTTTTTTCCCGTGCACCAGTAGTTCTTAGATTTTTTTCTTCTCTTCTAGTTTCTGTAATTCGAACAACAAAATCATGACGAAGCTGAGAATCTCGTGCAACGCAATAAAGATGGTATATCACAATTTTGCCGACACTAATTTCGCCGACAACCATTTCAAAGCCGTCTCCTCGGCAGCCCACTTCCCCGAATCCATTTCTTCGACATCTCATCTCACCGACGGATACTATCCCGACACCTCATTTCGCCGACAGCTATTCTGTTGATACCTTTTTTATGTTACAAACTAACTTCGCCGACTACCACTTCGCTGACAACTGTTCGTTGACAAATTTGGTGTTTAGGGTTGGCTTGCTTTATAGTTGGCGTCAGCTAGTCGGCGAAATCTACCAAAACCTTTTTTTATTGGCAGCCATTTTATCTCCCAGCTAATTGTGAAATGTAATTCAAGATCTATAAATGGCTGTTGGTCGGTGAAATATCTGTTATCGAAATAGCTGTTAATGAAATGGGATGTCGATGAAGTGGGATTTCGGTGAAGTGGTGTCGAAGAAATGGAGGCAGCCAATAACGGAAATTATTTGTAAAATAATTCATTATCTGGCTGTTAAGTTTAATATGTCAGCTTCTGGGCCCCGAAGGGGCCCAGAAATGACATATTAAATTCACTGCCAGATAAACAAGCTATTGGCTGAGTAGCATTCAATAGCGGTATTATCCGGTATCTTATGACGACCGAACCAACTGAATGACTCGAGTTCTTTTGGTGATGGTTGCGTCATCATCAAATAACGAAGTTATCTGATGATGATGCAATCACCATCAAAATAACTCGTTATTCTATTGATACGATCATAGTAAGGTAATAAGATTTGTTTATTTGAATTATTCGTCAGATAACTATTTATCCGAATATTCGTCGAATACGAGAATAACGAATATGAATACGAAGCTCTAGGTGAAAATGGTGTCGGTGAAATAGTTGTCGGCGAATTTTACTAAATGCAATAAAGATTATTTGATTTTGCTAGTTTTTCTTTAACCGATCTCTGTTGTATTATAATTTTTGCGTTAGACCATGGCAAATCTAAAAGAGAATATTCATCACTTTTCTGAAAACACTTAATGTATTCTAGTTCCTGAAGTAGACGAAAAGGATTTAAATGAAGGTAAAGGGTGGCCGAACAAGGATTGCAAAGCAAGCACTAATAATTTATTCAATAGCATCTTTTTTTTTTCTTCCATTCGCCTCCATTCATTCTGTGCATTTGCAAAGATTCTGAAAAACTTGCATTTTGTCGCTAAATCGAAAGAATCGTGCGAACTCAGAACAGATCTGATCAAGACATGCCATTTGGCGAGCAACTCAATACAAGACACTCTGGTTATATAGCATCTGAATATAACAGTATCATAGTAAAATCTTTTTATACCTACATTTTTTTGATTTTTTTTTACTAATGGCTCAATGTCGACGTAATAAGTGTGATATGTACGTATTTAATTATTTGTTATCAATGAATTTTTTAAACTTATAAATAAAGGCAAGAGAAAATGTCTCTTATCGAGCTATTTTAACTTCAAAATATTTTATTAATATTATTTTGTAAGTTTCGTAAATCTTTCTATCACATCTTTTCTGATTATTAGTGTGATATCAATTCTTTGTTTCGAAGCTTTGGATACGGCAACGGAAGTATTTCATTGTTATAGTGTTATCCCTTTCTTTGAAGTATTTCATTTTACTGATTACTAATCTTCATCTTTTCGTGAATTAGAACCTGTTTCTGAATTCTTGTCAGAGTTTCAAACAGCCAACTCATTTTTAGTGGTTTCTATTGCTTAACTTTTTTTGGTTAGTAGTTTCGAATCCAGTAATCAACCCTGTACTTGAAAATCATAGTATCAACAAGACGAATCCCAATTGGATTAATTTTAACGATGCAATTAACTTTGATGATTTATATAATAGAATGGGAGAAAAAATAAAAATAGGGCGCTGATTTGTTATAATGAGTCTGGAGCATACCGTATAGACGCGTAGTAACGCACATGGGCGTTATTTCGAAAATTTCATTTTTTTGAAAATCGCATATTTCACTCAAAATAACACGCCCCACATACATTGTTTCAGGAAAGTTCTAGTAGGTGTAACTTTTTTCTTCAAAATTAGGTTAATGATTCGAATTAACGCTTCCGAAATACTGCGCAGGGTCTCAAAACAATGCACAGATGCGCGTTATTACGCGCCTTTATTGTAGTTGTTAGGCGAAACCCTTTCGCATAATTACGAAAGACGGAGCCTCCGGCAAAAGACGAAAAAACGAACCTAAATTCAAAATGAGGAACATGAAACATTGACGAAACCTACTTTCGTTAAAAAAAATAAAAATAAAAAAAATACCAATAACCTGCCAAATTTCAGTTTTTGCAAAGAAACAAATACAGTTAGACCACTCTAAGTGCACGCTCTTGGGACCACACTTTAATAACGTGCATATAGAGAATAATAAGAAAAAGTGCATTTATGGAGGTCATGTATATATTTGGGCCGGCACTTGAGCGTACATTTAGAGAGGATGTGCACTTATAGAGGTCTGACTGTATAAACAAATCTAGGTTGTTAATAACAAAAGAACTATGGCTCATGTATTTTAAAAAAAACAAAAATTTAATATTTGAGGCTTTTATATAATGCTGAAGATGTTAATGGCATGGCTCAGCATGTATACTTAGTTTTTAAAAGCCAATAACAGAAATTATAGTAGTCAAGTAAACCATTAACGCCTTTCAAATATTTAAATAAATAAATAAATATACGGAGTAAATATAGATGCATTATTCTCCTAGTTATGGAGAATTTATCAGATTCAAAAGTTTTTCACTATAAATTTCTCACTATAAATTTTTAATACACGGTATCAAAGTGTAAATATTAATAACTCTTAATATTTGTTAATTTTCTGTAAGCAATATTAGTATAAGTTATATAAAATAAAGCTTTAAGAATTTACAATAGTTTTATAGCGAGTTTAGATTTTGAAATTTATATTAAGTATTAATAAATGACGTAACGTCAATATTAAGTTTAGCTAGCTGTGCAACTACATTTGCCAAACCCGGAAACAAATGAACTAGTAAATTATATTATCGTGCAAACTTATATTTTCTTATTCTTGTTCTTTTTGTACGTTTTAACATAAGCACAACAATCTCAAATTAAAACTAACATAATTGCACGATAACATCGATATTGGATCATACGGTGAAAAATATCATAATATTTGTTCTGTCAAAACAAATTTCATGATATTAATCGTTACTTGACAGATATATTATAATTATTCTAGATTTTTCTGTAATTCAAAAACAGCTAAATTGTTTTCTATGAACCTTGGTTTAAATGAATGCTACAATCGTCTGAAGCCAGGTAGTAATTTATATACATCACGAGATTTTAATTTACAGATTTGTTAGTGCCGTAAAAGCGCTCAGGGCGTTAATTTGAAAATTCGATACTCCTAAAAGAGTATACGTATCATCATATTAACGCCCATGGGCGTTCTGAATTAACGCACATTCCTATAAATAAATATAAAAAAAAAAAAAAAAGTGTTCCGGAACTGAGTTTGGTATTAATTAACCCTATTTTTGAATTTAAAAAAAAGTGTTGGGACGATTCTAATGGTAGTAAAATCATTAAAAACGGTTCAATAGTTCACCCACGATGGTTTTGCAATGTTTGTTTACCTTTGAATGACCTGTATATCATGTAAACAAAGGTAACAAAACTTTGAAGAGCCATTGCAGGAGAACTATTGGATGTTTTTAATGATTTTACTGCAGTTAGAATCGTCTACTTAATACCAATCACAGATCTGTGAACATGCAGATCAATTAATTAATACACCGGTGGGGATGTTCTATAGAATAGGTGGGCAACATAAAAATAAACTCCACCAATGATTAATAATCATTAATATATTTAGCGGAGTTTGCCCACCTATTCTATAAAACATCCCAGGTGGGCATTATTTCATGCTTGTATGGTACAAAAGTACTTGACTATTTATAGAATTTCTATAACAATAAAATAGTTTTTATTTTTAAGTGATCAAATATTTTTGTTACTGAGTGTATATTTGTATGTATAGTTCTTAAAAACTACTTGGCTTTAGATGATCTCCAATTCAGTGTACTGATTTAAACTCAAAATATCAAAAAAGATTTGGGTTTGATTTTAGATAGCAGAGCTATTTATTTTCTATTTATATAATATAATATCATTATATGTGTGCTGTTAAAAGAAAACCTTTTATTGAACTTTCAATTATATTTTGTATATAATTATAATAATTATCTATAGAAAATCTATTATTATAATAGATTTTTTGAAAATAATTTACTATATACAAAATATAATTAAAAGTTAGTAGCAGATTTTTTTGATAGTACTCATATAATCTTGAATATAAAATAAACAAAATTATAATAGATGTTATAATTATATTTATTTAAGATAAATATATATATACTTTTTACTCTTTGCATAGTTGGTTACTGAACTTAAGAATTATTATATTTAATGATTATTTCATCACCAAACCTCTCTTGTCCATAGATATGAGCAAAATTAAAACAGATATCCTATTTATTTATTTATTTTATTACTAAGAGTTAGGAGGTCAAAGAGTTTTTAAATCTAGTAACTTTTTACTACAAAGTTAGACTCCTCCTACTATTTGAAATCATACAAACAAACCTGATTAACAAACCCAACCTCCTCTCTAGAGTTGTTATATAGAGTATGTCACTTTGAAATGGCTCTGGTTTGACTCCAAACCAACTTGAAGTAGATTAAAATTTAATAAACTGGAGTAAATCAAACCAGATTAATAAACTAGAATAAACTAGTTTATTAAATCAGATTAATAAACTGGAGTAAATCAGTTTATTAAACCAGTTTAACAAACTAGTTTAATAAACTCGTTTAATAAACCAGTTTAACAAACTAGTTTAATAAACTTATTTAATAAACCAGTTTATTAAATCTAATATATTTGTTAGATATGTTAGATCCAGCAGATTTTTTTTAGCTTATCTTGATGCCAAAAAATTATTTTGAGCTATAATTTACCTTTTACAATATGCATATACTATATTACATGTATATATATGCTTCTTTATATAAAATAAATTTAAATATAATTGGTTTATCACCTTTGTAATATATTTGTATTGTTGTACTAGCCAATGCACTAATTTAACCACTATTGGTATTATTAAGTACTTTATACAGTCAACTCCTGCTATAGTCACACTGTTTGGCAGAAACTTGATGTGACTATAGTGAGAGAAACATACATAATAATAGTCATATCAAGTGATTATAGCGAGGGTTAATTTTATATTACTTTAAATGATTGTATATAGTCTCAAGAAAATGTGACTATTTCGGGTGTAACTATAGTGGGAGTTGACTGTACTACTAATTTTATTTGGAGTATAAACTAAAGTATTGCTTTAGAGTAGCTTTGAAGTATAAATTGAAGTATTGCTTCAGAGTATTATTCTAGAGTATTACTCTGAAGTATTGCTCTAAAGCAGTGTTGTATTGAAACAAGGATATGGACAATGTGCAATCTAGGATAAGATATTCTAAACATGTCTGCCAAAAAATTAATATCTTAGACTATTAAAATTATAATAAAGGCTGCTTTGTTAGCCAATTAAATTATTTAATAAGCTCTTGTATACAATATTATATTAGACACTATTATGAATATAGACATTATCTGGAACTATTTGTGTCTTTGCAATTTTAATGAAACAATATCTGAACTCAATACTGCTCTAAAGTGTAAACTGGAGTATTAAACTAAAGTATAAACTAGAGTATAAAACTGAAGTATAATCTAGAGTATAAAACTAAAATATAAAGCTGAAATATAAAACTAGAGTATAAAACTAGAGTATAAACTAAAGTATAAAGCAGAGTATAAAACTAGAGTATTAAACTGAAGTATTAAACTGAAGTATAAAACTGGAGTATAAACTAAAGTATAAACTGAAATATAAACTAAAGTATAAAACTAGAGAATAAAACTGGAGTATAAACTAGAATATAAGCTAAAATAATTAAACCAGCTTGGTTTAGTTTTAGATTTACTCTACTAGTTTATAACACAAACCAAACTACTCTATTAATAACTCTACAAATAACTCAAGTTATTTGGCAATAATTATGATATCTGCCAAATGACTTTATTATTTAGTAGCTTATATAATTACTAACAAAAACTCAAGTTATTTGGCAAGCATAATTATTATAAACTACTAGATAATACTATTATT